GCAAAGGGGACAGAGCCGGGGAAGGAGCCTCAGAACTGCCTCCCTGGCCTCTAAGATCCAGAGAGGGTAGGGGGCTGCCTGCCACCCTGACTGGACTCAGGGCTGGGTGCAGGAGAGGGAGGCAGAGACAGAGGACAATATGACCATCCGCACTGGCAAGGCTCCGCCCCATACTACAGGTGTTTCGTGGAAGGTCACACTAGGGCCATGCTGCTTCTGGTCATTCCCTCTGTGCTCAGTACTAAATCACGTATCAAAGGTCCATCCATCTGTTCTAGAGACTAGAAAAAAAAAATCAAATGATCGACAGAGGGGCCAAGATTACTAATAAAACAGAGAAAGGAAGGAAGCGTAGGGAGTGGTTGATGGAGAAACTTCCAGAGTCGGGCTGTGTGGATTCAAATCCTGGGCCTGCCACTTCCTCATTCTGTGACCTTGGGCAAGCTACTCAAACCCTCTGTGACTCACTTTCCCCATTTCAGAAACAGGCAGCATTCACCAGTGTGTGGTGCCGGTAAACTGGAAAATTCTCACAACAACGGCGGTCACAGAACAGGTGCTCAGTAAATGTTCACAATCGTCATCATCTTCTACTGACCTGAGAAGAGAGCTAATGTTCAGTTAACTGAAGCAGCCCACGAGGGGAAGAGTTTCTGGATAACCTACGATCCTGGTTAATGAAGGGTAACCCGTTTCTTCAGTGACGTGGGGGAAGGCTAGCAACCAAACATAAGGGTCCATCCTTTCTGTCTCCTCTCCCCGAAACTACAAGACATCATGAACTTCAAAGATCTCACCTAATAACTGGCTAAGTCTCAGCCACGTGGTTGAGTTTTATGACACGTGGTTATAAGTTTTCAAAAGAGTAGGATTTAATTTAGAAAAACTAAATGTATTCCTCCAAGAGCTTCAGAAATTCCAAAGGACTGTTTTTCTTTGAACTGGAGCACGCAAAGGGATAGGTAATCCTAAAAAAATAATACAGCAACCAAAAATATCATTACAACAATGAACTTGCCAATGGCAGGAATTATCTGTATTGCTTTATTAGCGGTCCAAACCCAGAGACTGAATATTTATTTCCCCCATTTGAAACACACTGTCTCTGCTGCCATTACAAAGAGGAAACAGGAAGCTCGCACGTCCCCACTGCGCAGACATACAAAGAACATGTTTTGACTTTGACGTTGTTGTTTCCAACCTAACCTTTTAAAAAGGACTTTGCCTGACAGATCGCAGGCAGCAAATCTTTGCATTACATGTTCATATGTAAAGCAAGACTCCCTTCAGTATTTTTCTTTTGAAAAATCGTCTGGCCCTGCTTTCCATTTCTCCAAGCGACATTTAGAACAACTGTTATATATTTCACCCCCAAAACCTAAAACACAAAGCATCATTTTATATTTTGAGGGAGAAAGCATCACCTGACCCCGCAGATTAGAAAGCCAGGACGGGACTCTTGTGCACACGATTTTCATAGCCTGCAGTTTTGTGGTTTCTGGACTCCGTTTACTCCTGGGTGTTTTTGCATTTTTTTTTTGTTTCACCCCTAAGTGTTTTTTTTTTTTTC